TTTTTGCTGATCATTGGACTTTATTAAGATGAAATCACTGATAATTACACAGAAATTACTTGCCTAAGGCAAAATCCTTGAGTTTCACATGAACTTAGTTACACAAATAAACATCATGTTCAAAACCATGAGGAAATATCCCAATGCCCAGGTGATGAAGGCTGGGTTGAACAAATCTGCACACTTATTTCAAGCTGTTAAACAGTTTATGGGCCACACAGTGGTCCCTTGCATGCAAGAAGTTAAAGAGCTCCTCTGTGCAGTTCTCCTCTGTCTGTGACCTGGAGGATACACGCTGATCACAGAGCTCTAGCCGCTCCCGAGCCTTCACACATTTCTCCAGCTGCTCGCACTGCTCTCTCACTGTTGTTAGAGGATCCACTAATTCCTCTTCCTCTTCTTCCTCCTCCTTGGGATCTCCGGACCCGGTCAGCATCCTTTGCTCGTCCTCTAGCCCCATGTCCGGCTGCGTTTCTGGACTCAACACAAGCAGCAACAGCGGCACCTATTCCACTTGAGGATCAAAAAAGTAGTGTTTTTCTTTTAATACCCAGAAGTAGAATTGCTGGATCATATTGTAGTTCTGTTAATTTCTTGATTAACTTCTATAATGTTTGCTATAGTGGCTGCATTAATTTACATTCCCACCAACAGTGTATAAAGGTTTCCTTTTTCCCACATTCTCACCAACATTTGTTATTTCTTGTCTTTTTGATTATAGCCATTCTAACAGGTATGAAGTAATATCTGATTGTGGTTTAGATTTGCATTCCCCTGATGATTAGTGTTATTGAGCATCTTTTCATGTGCCTGTTAGCCATCTGTATGTCTTTGGAAAAATGTCTATTCAGATCCTTTGCCCACTTTTTAATCAGTGATTTTTTTTTTTTTTTTTTTTGCCTTTTGACTGTATGAGTTCTTTGTATATTTCTGTTATTAACTCCTTAATAAATATATGACTTGCAGATATTTTTCCCATTCTATAGGTTGCCTTTTCATTTTGTGTGGTTTCCTTTGCTGTGAAGAAGCTTTTTAGTATGATACAATCCTTCTTGTTTATTTCTTATTTTTTTTTTACTTTATTTCTAAATATGATTTTGAAAAAAATTCTAAAATTGTTGTCAAGGACTTTCTGCTAGTTTTCTTCTAGGAGTTTTAAGATTTTAGGTCTTGGATACAAGTCTTTAACCCATTTTGAGTTAATTTTTTGTGTATGGTGTGAGATAGTGGTCTAGTTTCATTCTATTGCATGTGGCTTTCTTTTCCATGTCCAGTTTCCAATACTATTTATTGAAGATACTGTTCTTTCCTTATTTATATTTTTGGCTCCTTTTTTGTAAATCGTGCTGTTCTGTACTAAGTCACTTCAGTCATGTCCGACTCTTAGCAACCCCATGGACCATAGCCTGCCAGGCTCCTCTGTCCATGGGATTCTCCAGGCAAGAATACTGGAGCGGGTTGCCACTTCCTACTCCAGGGGACCTTCCTGACCAGGGATTGAACCTGCGTCTCTTGCATCTCCTGCACTGGCAGGTGGATTCTTTACCACTAGTGCCACCAGGGAAGACCACATGTGAGTGGGTTTATTTCGGGGCTCTCTATTCCATTAATTTATGTGTCTAATTTCTATGACAGTGCCATACTGTTTTGAAACTGTAATATAGTTTGAAATCAGGAAGTGTGACACCTCCAGCTATGTTCTTCTTTCTTAAGATTGCTTTGTCTATTTTGGGCCTTTTGTGGTTCCATCCAAATTTAGGATTTTTTATTTCTGTGAAAAATATCATTGAAATTTGGATGTATGGCCTTTTAGGCAATGTTACATGCATGTACACAAAACATCCCAACCAAAAGCAACAAAATACTCTTCTCAAGTGTCCATGGAATATTCTCCACAAAATATTGTTTGTTAGCTCACAAAACAGGTCTTAAAAATTTAAGATTGAAATCATATATATGAAGTATCTTTTTCAAACCACGATAGTATGAAACTGGAAGTTAATTGTAAGAAGAAATCTGGAAAATTCACTAATTTGGGGAGAATAAACAGCATGCTACTGAACAATCAGTGGGTCAAAGAAGAAACCAAAAAGAAATTTAAAAAATACCTTGAGAGAAATGAAAAGGCAACATACCAAAATTTATGGGGTACTGCAAAAAATAATTCTGAAAGGGAAGTTCCTAGCAATAAATGCTTACATCAAGAAACAAGAAAAATCTTAAACAACTTAACTTTAACTTCTTAGAAACTAGAAACATAGAAGAGATAAAGTCTAAAGTTAGTAGAAGGAAGGAAATAACAAAGATCGGATTGGAAATAATTATAATAGGAAATGAAAAGACAACAGGCAAGATCAGTGAATTTCAGAACTGGTCATTTGTAAAGATAAACAGGCAGACCTTTAGCTAGAATTATCAAGAAAAGAAAAGAGAACTCAAATCAGAAGTGAAAGAGGAAGCACTGCAACAGATACCACAGAAATACAAAGGATTGTAGGAGACTATGGGGTAACCTGGCTCAGATACTAAAGAATCTGCCTATAATGCAGGAGACCTGGGTTCAATTCCTGGGTGGGAAGATCCCATGGAGAAGGAAATGACAACCCACTCCCAGTATTCTTGCCTGGAGAATTCCATGGACAGAGGAGCCTGGTGGGCTACAGTCCATGGGGTTGCAAATAGTCAGACACAATTAAGCAAGTAACAGTTTCACTTTCATGGAAAATTGTTTGCCCACAGTTTGACAACCTATAAGAAGTGGATAAATTCCTAGAAACACACAACCTGCCAAGACTGAATCATGAAGTAAAAATCTGAAAGTTCAGTTACTAGTAAGGAGATTGAATTTAAATAAAAAACCTCCTAACCCACAAAAGTCCAGAACCAGATTTCTTCACTGGTAAATTCTACCAAATATTCAAAGAAGAAATGATCCAGGCCTTCTCAAACTCTTCCAAAAAATAGAAGAGGAGGAAATTCTTCCAAGCTCATTTTATGAGGTCAGCATTACTCTGATACCAAACCAGACAACGATGCCACAAGAAATGAAAATTACATTCCATTATCCCTGATGAATATAGATGCAGCAATCCTCAACAAAATGTTAGCAGAAATCCTCAACAAAATACTAGTTAACTAAATTTAACAATACATTAAAAAAATCATTCACCATGATCAAGTGTGTAGTTTATTCCAGGGATACAAAGATGGTTCAGATTCCTCAAATCAATCAATATGATATGCCACATTAATAAAATGAAGGGTAAAAATCATATGACCTTCTCAGTAGATCCAGAAAAAGCATTTTACACAGTGATATGATAAAAACTCACAACAGAGTGAATATATACAGAAAGTTTCTCAGCATAATAAACACCACATATGACAAGTCATAAGCTAATATTATACTCAGTTGTGAAAACTGAAAGCTTTTTTTTTTAAAATTAATTTATTTTTTTTTCATTTATTTTTATTAGTTGGAGGCTAATTACTTTAAATATTGTAGTGGTTTTTGTCCTACACTGACATGAATTAGCCATGGATTTACATGTATTCGCCATCCCGATCCCCCCTCCCACCTCCCTCTCCACCCGATCCCTCTGGGTCTTCTCAATGCCCCAGGCTTGAGCACTTGTCTCATGCATCCAACCTGGGCTGGTGATCTGTTTCACCCTTGATAATATACATGTTTGGATGCTGTTCTCTTGAAACATCCCACCCTCGCTTTCTCCCACAGAGTCCAAAAGTCTGTTCTGTACATCTGTGTCTCTTTTTCTGTTTTGCATATAGGGTTATTGTTACCATCTTTCTAAATTCCATATATATGCATTAGTATACTGTAATGGTCTTTATCTTTCTGGCTTACTTCACTCTGTATAATGGGCTCCAGTTTCATCCATCTCGTTAGAACTGATTCAAATGAATTCTTTTTAATGGCTGAGTAATATTCCATGGTGTGTATGTACCACAGCTTCCTTATCCATTTGTCTGCTGATGGGCATCTAGGTTGCTTCCATGTCCTGGCTATGATAAACAGTGCTGCGATGAACATTGGGGTGCACGTGTCTCTTTCAGATCTGGTTTCCTCGGTGGGTATGCCCAGAAGTGGGATTGCTGGGTCATATGGCAGTTCTATTTCCAGCTTTTTAAGAAATCTCCACACTGTTTTCCATAGCGGCTGTACTAGTTTGCATTCCCACCAACAGTGTAAGAGGGTTCCCTTTTCTCCACACCCTCTCCAGCATTTATTGCTTGTAAGACTTTTGGATAGCAGCCATCCTGACTGGCGTGTAATGGTACCTCATTGTGGTTTTGATTTGCATTTCTCTGATAATGAGTGATGTTGAGCATCTTTTCATGTTTTTTAGCCATCTGTATGTCTTCCTTGGAGAAATGTCTGTTTAGTTCTTTAGCCCATTTTTTGACTGGGTCATTTATTTTTCTGGAGTTGAGCTGGAGGAGTTGCTTGTATATTTTTGAGATTAATCCTTTGTCTGTTGCTTCGTTGCTATTATTTTCTCCCAGTCTGAGGGCTGTCTTTTCACCTTGCTTATAGTTTCCTTTGTTGTGCAAAAGCTTTTAAGTTTCATTAGGTCCCATTTGTTTATTTTTGTGAAAGCTTTTTTTTTAAGATCAGGAACAAGACAAGGATGTCCCCTATCGCCACTTTTATTCAACATAGTGTTGGAAGTACTAGCCAGGGAGGTCAGAGAACAAAAAGAAATAAAAGGAATCCAAATTGAAAAGGAAGTAAAATTGTTAATATTGCAGGTGACATTCTTTACAAGCTTTAAGAAAGTAGATAAATGTTAAGTACTATTATTTTGAGCTGTCAACCATTGTCTAGAAATGCTCTATAATTAATCTAAAGTGACATATGGGAGAAATATCTAAGAGTTTGAGACTTCTCAGCTATATACTTAGACACACCTCCTTATTTCACTAAATAAATCTTAGACAATTAGTAAAAATTAAGATTTGATTTTCTTTTCCATTTTTAGTGTTAAATGTTTACAAAAGACAGTGAAGGATTCTTATCATATAATGTGTAGACCATGTGCCTGTGAACTTGAAGTTTGTGCCAAGTGTGGAAAGAGAGAAGATGTTGTTATTCCGTGAGTATTTTTTTTTATGTTTTGGATTTACTCTTTTAATAAATGGTATGTGAATTTTCTTTTAAGGAAACATTGAGTAGCTCTGAGAATCTTAAGATACAGTATATTACAGTAATGTAGACTTTTTCTACCCAATAGGAAAAAACACCTTAATGAATTATTCAGTGTTTCTATCATTATAATAAAAGCAAAACATCATTTTATATTTATCTGTGAGAGTCATATTTATTATACATTACAAAAGAATTATTCATTGTATAACTTTGTTTTCTTTAATGGACAGCATGGATTAATTTGTTTGATCATGCTTTATTGACAGCAGTATTGTAATTGGTTGGCTCTTCAATTAAATTAATCTTCAAGGATCTTTTCCTCTTTATTTCATTAAGCTCTTATTAATCAAGAAGTGTAGTGTAAAAGTCTTTTCAGTCTATGCAAACAATGCAATCTTGAGAAATAAGAGTTTTTTTCTTCCATCTTTAGGTTTAATAAAGAACCAGAAAAGACAGAAAATGTTGAAAATAATTCACGTTCCAGCAATAGAAGAAGCTGCAGAAGGAATGAAGAAAATGATGATGATTTAGATTTTGATATTGATTTAGATGATACCGAAGAAGACAATTAATATAACTATATTAAAATTCAGTTTTAAAACATGAAATTCTGACCATCCTTTTATAAAATTTTTTTTCACTCCTTATTTCTGGCTGTGCTGGGTCTTTGTTGTTGCACGGACTTCTCTCTGGTTGCGATGAGTGGGGGCTTTTCTCTAGTTGCAATGTTCAGCTTCTCATTGCAGTAGCTTCTCTCGTGGCACATGAGCTTCGGTCATTGTAGCCTGTGGGCCCTAGAGCACAGGCTCAGTAGTTGTGGCTCATGGACTTAGTTGCTCCCCAGCCTGTGGGATCTTCCCAGACCAGGGATCAAACCTTTGTCTCCTGCCTTGGAAAGCAGATTCTTTACCACTGAGCCACCAGGAAAGCCCTCGGAACCTCTTTGAGAGACGTGGTAGTGGTAAGTCGCTCAGTCGTGTCCAGCTCTTTGTGACCCCAATGGACTGTAGCCCACCAGGCTCCTCTGTCCTTTGATTCTCCAGGCAAGAATACTGGAGCAGATTGCCACTTCCTCCTCCATGGGAATCTTCCTGACCCAGGGAACAAAAATTGGTCTCCTGCATTGCAGGCATATTCTTTACCATCTGAGACTTTGAGGGTTTAAAAAAAAACAAACTGTGGAATCCTAGTAAGAATATTGGAAAAACCTATAGAAAATACACATACAGTATGAATTGTGTATGATATTTGAATAATGATAAAACCTTTATCCAGAGGTTTCTTATAATACATTTTAAAGTAGCATATGCCAGTATATCTGCCAAAATGAGTATTGGAGTATCATATTGCAATTTATGAAAATTATTTAGAAGAATACACTATCTAGTATCAAACTAAACAAGATTCAGAATTGATGGTTGTATAAGAACTATATCATGGAAAAATAAAATGACATTCTTACGTTGCTAGCCTCAAAAACTGGTCTTAAGGAGGTATCTTTTGGAGGTATCTTTTGATAGTCTGATTTCAGGTAAATGTCCCAAATTAAAAAAAGCCCTCTTGCTTAATCTTGCTTATTATAAAGCAAAAAGTTTATTACTTTTAATAGTAATGTTTAACAAATCAATTCAGTCGCTCAGTCATGTCCGACTCTTTGCAGCAAACTCTTTGCAGTTGTGTCTGACCAATGGACTGCAGCAAACCAGGCTTCCCTGTCCATCACCAACTCCCAGAGCTTGCTCAAATTCAGGTCCATCAAGTCGTTGATGCTATCCAACCATCTCATCCTCTGTTGTCCCCTTCTCCCATCTTCAGTCTTTCCCAGCATCAGGGTCTTTTCCAATAAGTCAGTTCTTCACATCAGGTGGCCAAAGTATTGGGAGCTTCAGATTCAGCATCAGTCCTAGCAAATATTCAGGACTGATTTCCTTCAGGATGGACTGGTTTGATCTCCTTGCTGTCCAAAGGACACTAAAGAGTTCTCCAACACCACTGTTCAAAAGCATCAGTTCTTTGGCACTCAGCTTTCTTTATAGTCCAACTCTCACATCCATACATGACTACTGAAAAACCATAGCTTTGACTAGACAGACCTTTGTCAGCAAAGTAATGTCTCTGCTTTTTAATATGCTATCTAGGTTGGTCATGGCTTTTCTTCCAAGGAGCAAGCGTATTTTAATTTCATGGCAGTAGTCACCATCTGCAGTGATTTTGGCACCCAAGGAAATAAAGCCTGTCACTGTTTAACAAATGCATAGCAATTTTTCTTTGAAAGTTTTTTATGTATTTTATTACATTATTTTTATGTTTTTTTCTTGTGAAATTTACCTACAGAAAAAATGCATAAAATATGTATAGTTTAATAAATACTTATAAAGAAAAATCACCTTTCTACTTTGAAAATGCAGAAACCTAAAGAGTAGCAGTGTAGTACAATGAACCATTGTATACTCTTCACTTAGATTCACAGTTAACATTTTCCACACTTTATATTTGTATAGATATATGTGGATATATTTTTTATTTTCTGAAACAGTTGAAAGTAAGTGTCAGACACTGGTTTTGAACTTTTATGTGAACAGACTTATCCTATGCCTGTTAGTTTGTGTCTGTTCTTATTTCATTATGAAATTTGTGAGATTGATCCATGTTGTTGCAAAAGTTCTAATTTGTTAGTTTTACATTAGTGTTTTTTCAATTGTATTTACATACCACAATTTACCCCCTCTAATAATGAGGGACATTTGAGTTATTTAAAAATTGTTCGATTACAAACAATACTAAGTGTTTCTTGGTATAAATGTATTATTTCTTGGTACATTTTTTGTTAAGTATGTAATAGAAGATTGAAATGTTTCTTGGTATACTTGTTTCTCACTACTGTCAACTAAAAAAATATAGTCACAACCTGAAAATAGAGAGTTATTTTATTTGGTGGGAATGTTTAGGACTCCAAGCCTGGGAGACAGCATCTCAGTAGCTCTGAGAAAACTGGTCCAATGAGGCCGGAGGGAAGTCAGGTTATATACAAGTTTGTGACAAAGGGAGCAGATAGTCTGATCAGGTAGCAAGTTAAAGAATTTAGCATTCTCTGGAGAGGTGCAAGCCTCTGGGCTCACTGAATTCATTCCTTTCATATGCACCTCAGATACCTGGGGCCAATCCCGTTTCCTAGTTCACCTTGCTTCTTGCATTCCCCCAGCTCCTCAGCAATCACCGTGGGCGGTGGCATCTTCCTCCTGATCACAGCTTGGGGCTCCCGCATTCACTTTTGGAGGCCGGAAACCACTGATGGCTGTGACATTTCTTATTGATTAATGTGACAGGAAATATTTTCATTTCACACTACATTTTCTGTTAGGTATATCTAGCAGTGGTAGAGGACATCAGGTATATGCATCTTCACTATTACATGTGCTATGTCATGTTATCTTTCCAGAAGGATTATTACCTCCCTTCCCTGTAACAATGTATCAGAGTTCCTATGCTCTGCATCCTTTCCAACACTTGGTATCATACTGTTAACATTTCTGTCAATTTGATGGGGATGCAACGTATGCCTTCATCTTATTAATTTGTATTTCTCTAATTACTAATAAGCTTGAGCGCCCTTAGTCAATTGTTTTGACTTTAGTCTCAAAGTTTATTAAAGCCCTTAGTTTATTGACTATTGACTTTTGGATAATAAATGATATTAAGGAATCGTTTAATTAATGGTAAAGCATGATAATGTTATTTGAGAAATACATATTGAAATATTAAAGGGTGTATGGTCAATTTACTTTAAAATATTTTAGCATAAAAAAGTAAAGATACAGAGGACATTTCATTGGTATCAAAACTATGTTACTAAGGAATACATTTTAAAAACATTCAAGAACTCTGTTGACAAAAATTAAAATCTTATCAAGACATTAAAATTAAATGGAGACATAAATGGGAAAAGATAAAAATAAATGAAGGGAGATATCATGTTTGTGATATAGAAGCCTTTAAGTTTACAGTCTACAGAAATTTTTTCTACCATAAATTTGTGTGGCTTACCATTTGGTTTGTAAATTGTTTTCCGAGCTGTGTAACTTTTGTGGTTAAAGAGCCAACTTAATTATTATTAGACCTAGCATAAATTCTTTCCCATCTGAGTAAGTTATAATTCCTCAGATTACCTTTCTGAGAGAGAAGTTTAACAAAGAGCCTCACCTAGTGACATATACTAATATCTGCATTTCATTCTTTAATGCTGGGAGAAGTTTTATTTTTTTCAACAGACTGAGATTTCATTGTTACATTTAGTTCATTTGCATATCTTTAGGTATTATCCTTTCTTATCTAAAAATTATTTTTCTTGGAACTCAGTATGGATCTAAATCCTGGCTCTGCCACTTACTGTAGCTGTATGACTTGATACCAATTAATTAATCTTTCTGTGCCAACTAGGAGGGCACTAAACAACTGATATTATTATTGCTACTGTGATTTATATATATATGTATTAGTAATGAACTAGTAATTATTAATTGGAAATGAAATAATTAGTAATTAGTAATGAAGATGTCAATTTGGTTGTTTGCCTACGTTCTTCAAAAGAGTTATATATATAGTCCATATATACGTATATAAATATCAAATGCAGAATGTTAGAAGGTGAAAAGTTCTATGGAAGAAAGGCATGGTAGGGTGATTGGAAGTCTAAGGGCACAGATGGGGTGGGAGTGAGGGTGCACAAGTGGATGGAAGTGTTGCTTTTAAATAAGGTGCCTAGAGAAACATGTTGGTGACGAATGTTCCAGGCAGAAGAAACAGCCACTGCGGAGCCTCTAAAGGAAGGCTGTGCCAGGTGTGTTTAAGGAACAGCAAGGAGGGAATTATTAAGTTGGAGAGTTGAAAAAGATAAGATCAGGAAGGTAATGGGAGGCCATGTTATGTGAAATCTGCTTTTCTTTGTTTTTCAGTCGTTTGACTGATTTCTAAGGTATGGAATTTTTTTAGTTTTATTGAAGTATAGATGATTTACACTGTTGTGTTAATTTCTACTGTCCAGTAAAGTGATTGTTTTATATATATATTCTTTTTCATATTCTTTTCCAGTACAGTTTATTATAGGATATTGAATATAGTTTCCTGTGGAAAGGATGTGTTGCTAGTATGCCTTTACTTATTTACTTATTTGGCCATGAGGCTTGCAGGATCCTAGTTCCCTGACCAGGGATTGAACCTGTGCCTCCTGCAGTGGAAGTATGGAGTCCCAACCACTGTACCACCAGGGAATTTCTGCTAGTATACTTTTAAATCCACCCCAGTTCAGTTCAGCCGCTCAGTCGTGTCCGAGTCTTTGCCATCCCATGGACTACAGCACGTCAAGCTTCCCTGTCCATCATCAACTCCCTGAACTTGCTCAAACTCATGTCCGTCAAGTTGGTGATGCCATCCAACCATCTCATCCTCTGTCATCCTCTTCTGCCTTCAATCTTTCCCAGCGTCGGGGTCCTTTGCAGTGAGTCAGTTCTTTGAGTCAGGTCAGACACTGAATTTTGCAGTTCTAAAATGTTCACTTCATTCTTTTTCTAAATGT